ATGTTTATAACATAACTTCTTATATGTTATCTTTTCTTGCACAATATTATTTCACCATCAAATATTTTTATTTATAGAAACTTTTTCTTTTGATTATCCAAGTATAACTTTTGTCACTTGTTTAATAGTGTTTGTTACTTCCTACATAGAATTTGCTTCTCCATAAACATCCCAAATCTTGAAATCTTAAAGTTTACTAGTAAAAATAATTTTATTTATCTTTTAGATGCCCCCATCTAATTCAATGATAATGATTACTAGTATTCTTTATTTTACAACTCTTCATCTTAAAATCTAGAACTACTAATCGATCTTGAGTACTTAAATCCTCACTTGGAATGACCTTACAATCATTACATTATCGCCGACACTTCTTTCATAAGAAAATAATCAATGTGTTTCATGAGATCCATTCTTATAAGTAATAATATATTCATTTATTTTCTTGAATAAAATATTAGCAGTAACAAAATCATACGCTAAAGCAAAATCTATAATGGTTCTACCTTTTTCATTAATCACTCCAAAACCGTAGCCACCATGAATATTTCTAAAATCTTCTATCACCTTACCGACATGTCTGTTTAAATCTCTTTCATTAAAAATTCTTTCTTCAAGTGGTATCATTTGTATCAAGTTTTCTAGGTCATTCCAGAATTTCTCTTTAGACCTATATCTAAACCTAATTGAGGAGCATAAGCACTTATAATATTAAAAATCTTAATACCAGCAATAATCTTAAGGACTATAATTATATCTCTAACTCTATTAATTTTAACACTATTATCTTTCAAGCTCTTATCTATAATTACACCTAAACCATTTTTAGTGTCTCTTACCTGAATACTAAAGTTTAAAACAAAAGTTATCAATCTCCTTAGTCTATTCTCCTAGTTAGTTTCTTGAATACATAAGGTATTTATCTTTCTATGAATCATTTTGTCAATTAATTTCATTAATTTACATGTGAGAGTACCAATAAATAAAGATTATATCCTATTACTAGTTTCATTGACTAACTTATTTACCCGCATCTGTCCGTAATTTAGGAACTCTTGCTTATTTGACACTACACCCAAGCGTCAGTGAAGTGGCCTTTACATACTTTTCACAGCATTCAGATCATACAGCGCGTGCTCCTAGGGACGCCCTAGCATTTACACAATGATCAAAAGGATTTATGTCATGATTCTTTGACAAATTTTACGTTGGATGTTGACTATCTAACGCAACCCTCTACTTTTCACATCTGAGGTTTGGGTCCCAGCAATGGCAGTGTTAACAAATAATAATGAAAAAAATAAAAATATATATCTATGATGATAATTTTTTTTGGATGAATTTTATCTATAAAAAATACAAGAATTTAATTATTAAGAGGGGTGCCCTCTTAGAAGAATTTAAAAATGGTTAGTAAATATCACAAATCTGAATAGGAGAAAATTTCAGAAGATATAAAATAACATTTAAAATTTTACAATCTAATTTGTATTAGCATACCATATTTAAAATTGTTAATAAATATGTTAAGATGTGTAACGAATATAAAACGATATTTAATATAGCTAAAAGAGATAAAATATCATTAAACTATAAATTGGACGTTGAAATTTTTATATTTAGTGAATAGACCTTACAAGACACATCATTCCCTCATTTGAGAATTAAGCTATATTGACAACAGTCGGCTATGTCTTTAAGTTGATAGGAGTGATTGTATATAGCAGACACTAAGGCGGTAAAAAAATTTTAAAGAAGAATACCTTTCATGATATAGAATACCTAGAATTATAATCAGTAAGGAAGCCACTTCTATAACAAAAGATTTGAGACATTAGTAGATAAATTAGGAACTAAACGTTAAATAGATACAGCTTATCACCTCTAAACTAATGGAGAGATTGAGCAGATATTATAGCAAACAATCAATTTTATTACAAAATATTGGTCATTAAGGTTGGACAATACCTTATGTGTCGATAGAACAGCTTACAAAACTCAAATAGGAAATGTCTCTTTACAGATTAGTCTTTAGAAAAAGCCATTTACCTTTAGAATTAAAACATTAGGCTTTTTGGACAATTATAGAATTCAATTACAATTTAAAAGATGTTGGTAAAAAGAGAATCCTACGGTTAAATGAATTGAAAAGTAATTCGACAAGCTTAGAAGAATGTCAGTATTTATAAGAAACAAACTAAAAAATGACATGATCATAACTCTTTTAAGAATCAATTTGTATCTGAATAGGAAGTATTGCTTTCTAATTCAGGATAAATTAATTTCAAAAAATTTAAAGCCCAAATGATCAGGTCCATTTATTGTAGTGAAAGTCTACCCCTATGAATTTGTTGATGTCGAAGATAGAAAAAATGCCTATATTTTCAAAGTTAATAAACAAAAATTAAAATCTAATTGCTTCATCCTAACTAAAGAATTTAGCATAATCAGAGGACTAAAAATTAAGCATTGTTTGGGAGACAACCCAAGATAACTGTAATATTTTATTATGTTTGTATTTGGTGTTATATAGGTAGAGGAAGACCTAGGAAGACTTGGGCTTATTGTATAAAAAATGATCTTAATTTATTAGAAATAAATGAAAATATGACACTAAATAGGACGCAATGGAGAAAAATGATTCATGTAGCCGACCCAACGTAGTGGGATTAAAGCTTTGTTGTTGTTGTTGTTGTTGTTGTATTTTGTGTTATGTGTAAAAAACTAATCAATTTTTGTGTTGCAAGTATAGCACCTAAGCACTGATGATTATTCAACTCTGCAGCGCTAAGTGCGAGTATTATAAGTTGTCGGTAAGTATTTCAAGAATTGTGAAATATTATGTGTTACGCCAAGTCGCTGATTGTGTAGCATCACAATGATATCTTGGACGAGCGTCGCAATGCTAGCCTAGTAAACAAACTGACGATCAACTGACTTTTGTCAACTTCAAAAAATGATGTCAAGTTTAATGAAAATTTTAAGAAAATTATGACTAATGGATGAATTTTGATTTCTTAACTTGTTGACAATAAGATCAGAGTGTTGCGACAATGAGGACTTGCGTCATAGCGTTTAGAGCCCTAGAGAGTAGTGTTGCGATTCTATTAAGCATTATATACAGGCCTCCCGAGTTGATTTCATTTTAACACCGAGTGCAGAGCAATAGGGTAAGCAAATGACTTCCTTTCAGGCTAGAAAACCTAGTAGGTTTAGTTTTTTTTACCTCATTCCCTGGGAGAGATGTAGATGTATACTAATATAATTATGAATAAGAGGACAGGTGAAAGATATCCGGACCAAAGATAGATATAAAATGAGTATTTAATTTATAAGCTAAAAATTAACTACATGAAGAAACTACTCGTATGTTCTATTCACATACTATTCATTTTCATTTAAAAAGAAATCCATATTATTTTAGTATTTTTTTCCCAACCTACAAATAAGCAATCTCAACAAGTATATCCCCTCAGGTTATAATCTTTTAAGAACAATGCAACTTAAAAAAAAAGGAGTAAATATTGAAAAAATGCTCGAGTCAATTAAAGAAGCATCAAATGAAAAGAGATGTAACATTGTTTCCAATAGTCGTGCAAATGCACATATAATATCTCTTATTTATTTTATTCGAGGCATAGAATTTGGGCTATGATTATAAAGGTTTGTTTGGGATGACTCCTTCACCACTTTGTTTTTTAGAACATTGTTATAATATTGTTTGGCTATTTCTTTTAGTGCTTCTTGTTACCAAGTCTCCTAAACTTTGAGCCATAAGAAAATAATTGTTTGATGCTTTTAAAATGAAAAAATAAAATTATAATACCCATAGCAGGTGTCCAAAAAAATCACTTTGCCACAATAACTCCACAGATACTTTTATAAAGAACTTCTAAGGCCCCACATGAATCTTAAATGTCATCAATTTTGAAGATATTAGTGTGGATACATTCTACAACTAAGGACCTATTTGATGCAGCTGCAGCTGTTTGATAAAGCAGTTGTGAAGCTGCTGAAGAAGAAGCAGTTGTTCAAAAAATTGTAGAGGCTATTACAAAAAAAAAATTTAGAAAAAGTCAAAAAGTATTTTTCTAGCAGCCCCGCAGGTAGCCAGGTCTGGTGGATAAATGCAGCTTTCAACTACAGTTTTTTTAGAATGCAGGCAAAACGTAGTTTTACCAAACAAGAAAAACTGTGGTGCAGCACCACACCACCGCCTCAAACGCACCATAAGTTGTGCATCATTTAACTGCTTGAAGTCCTCAACATCTACCTTAAATAGCTAACTTTGAAAACTATGTTTTCTTTAAATGAAGGTGAAAGTGCCTTTAAAGAGGTGTAGCTAATGCTAATAATGATAATAGATTGAGTGTTTAAATTCTATATAATTATACATTATCAATATGCACATAATATCATATTTTATTTTAATATTATTTTGAAAAGAGCATTATTGATGCTTATTTTTAGGATTTTGGCAGTTCATGGACAATGGTAATATTGGTAAAATATGTGACAACTAACATTAATTAATAAATATTAATGTTGATGTGTATCACAAATAAAAAATGTCACACATGACAAATCATTTATTTTGTTATTAATAGTGCTTTTTTTCCTTTTATATTTTTAATCATCTTATGTGAAGTATATAAAATTATTAATCATTGTGCGCTGTCTATAGCAGAAAATATTAGCATTAGTGTTTAACTACAAATTATATATTAAAAATTTATAAAATATAATTTTGTGTCTGACATGTCATGTGCCCATTTTAAAGTTATGGCATATTGCTTAAATTTATGGTTTGTCATTGAGTTTGTTTTGTGTTTGTGTCGCTTCATAAAAATATCAGATCCAATATAAATGAATGTTTTATAGTGGGCAACAATGAATGAGAACCAATTAGAACATTGAAAATCAAGAAACATTGAAACTTAGTGAAACTAATGACAAAATTAGAAATATAAAATAAACAAGTTCATGAAGAGACTACTAACCAACTTCCGCACATCTGCGGCAACATCTCGAGCAAGAACAAATAAACCTTGTAGGTACTGATCCATAGAGAGCAGCATGGCCTGTATAATAATTTTTCATAGCATACAATGACTGCTATTGGCAAATACAAACCGCATTTTAGCAAGAAAAATGTCAAGTATTTAATTTCTTACTTTAGGCATTATTACAATAAACTGATTGATGGAGCCCAAAGAGAGCTTTCTAAGTGTAGAATGTGGAGACTGGAAAAGCTGCAGCGTGTATAACAAAATAAAAGGTTTCAGTCGAACCCCAACACACAGTGAAAAAAAATTACTCATGAAGAAACATGAATCCTAGGTCATTTCCAATATAATGTAACAATAAATGAAACTGCAGACTAATTGCACGTTAGTAAAAAAAAAGTTCAAGAAAGCCAAGTGTTTTTTAGCATTGGTACTACACTAACCTCAAGTCAAACAAAAGTCAGATGTGACTTGTCATGTGTGTTTAGGAGAAGAAACTGCTTTGTGCATATGCTGCAATGTCTTTCGAGACTTGCAGCTCGCACCATTCCAGAATCAATGAAAAGAAATAAAGATGATTCTTAAGCAATCTAAAGCTCATTAAGATCGTTAAGATTGGACTAACCTGCAATAACCTCGGCATGAAAATGTTTATAGGTCTTTCTGTCAATCCAGGAACATCCAAATCAAGTTCTTCAGGTATATCCTCGCAGATCTGTTATAGAAAGATGAATGGATGGATAGTGTAATTTTACTTTGTGACTTTTAAAAGACTAGAAAGTACAAATTCGCACTAGTAAAAACATATGAGCAAAAGAAGAGAATAAAACCAGTTCAACAGTTAGGTCATCCCAGTAGCATCAACATAAAGATGCAAACTTTCACCAGCAAAATCATAATTATGCAAGTTCATATTGCAAAAGGATGTTAAGCTGCAATTGCACTTCAGCGGTGTTATAGAAAAAAAAATGTAAAATAAGAAGAGAACAGTTAGATGATATCAGTAACATTAGTTAAAATCACTATAAATACTATCTCATGATTTCGGTTGCATTGCTTAGCAAAAACAAAGCTTGCCAAATTGTCTGAAATAATTTTGGTACGTTTAAGTGTCCTGGTTCATGGCTGCATTTAACTGTTTGTCATTCACAAAATTTCTAAAAATGGACAATTATTAAAAAAATTTCAACCATTCCCCTAAAAAATCATGACCAAGACAATCCAAGATGGATGGAGGCGGTGGTGACTAATGTTAAACCAGTATGGCTATACCCGTTCAATAAATTTGGCCTTAAATACAATAAATTTTGTGGAGCAAGATAAAATATGATAGAATAAAGAAACTGAAGTGAGATGTATTAAGCCGGAGACAAATAGTTGAAAGGAGGTGGATATAAATAAATATTAAATCCATTTCTATTGCATTTGGACCAGAATTTCTTGGTGTTGATTACAATAAGTGTAAAAATGAAGACAGGTTAGGATAAAATGTAGCACCCAAGTTAAGCCTAGTTACTTTCAGCTATTACTAGTACAAGCTGCCATTTCCAACAACAGGCAACATAAAAGACCATTGATCAACAAACAAAAAAAAACACCAACCTTGTAAATAGTATCCATAGCACTTTCCATATGATTTAAGTCATTACTATCCAAGCAATGAACAAGAGCTTGCAACAACTCCGGCCAGCCCAATAGTCTCCCACTCTGCACGATGACACTAATAACAGTTCCAGCTGTAGATCTGATGGTCTTATCTGTAGCACCTAAACATGAAAGTAATTGTAACTTGATGTATTGCTGATGTGAAGGAGATGTGGATCTGTAACTTGTTTTTAAATTATTCTTCAAAAGCAAGCCAGCAGCCTGTCGGATTTCTGCTGATTTACCCTGTTACATTAGCAGATCATCAATTAAAGAATAAAAATGGAGCATAAACTAAACACTACGATGGCATCACTAAAGATGCTAAACACGAGTGGAAAAGGAAAGGATTAATAAAAAAGACTTGCTATATTAGCAGTTTAAACAACAACGAAAAATGTTCTGCCAAAATGAAAATTGAGATGTTAAAGCTCGGTTAAAATAGTTGCTTGAGAGCTATGAATTTATTATAGTCCAACAGCAACTCAAGTGCAAGCCCACTTTGCCGAAAGTAACTTAAGCACAAACCAGCATACTATTTCCAACTTGAGAAAAGTGTCACTCAAATTATAGATGTTAAGAAGTTACAGAACATCAAAAGAATGCATTCCCACATTGTAAACAACGTAATGAACCAGATAAGAAAAATGTGCAGTATGTCAAATTTTCTTCTGCATTTCATTCTTAGTTTTGCATCTTAAGTCTCCAAGTAATGGAAAAAAATAACTTCATCATGTAATTTTGTGTACGACCACCAATGCATAAGTCAATTTGTACGACTTGAAAGGAGATTTAAAAAAAGTTATCAACATTAGCCTTTTGAACCACACAAATTCAACTATATGTGTGTGTGTTGCCTACCGTGAATCTGTGATGATGATGATTGATGAAACCATACGTTCAACTTATTCCAATAATCTTTAGTTTTAGTTCATGATTATATATATATATATATATATAGCTATATATATATATATATATATATTAGGCCCTAAACCCTATATGTGTGTATGTGGCCTACCGTGACTCTTTGGTTGGCAAAGTTTGTAAGACCACTGGGGTCACGAGTTCGATCCCGCTTATTGGTGGGACCTATGTGCGGGATAAATTCTTAGGCACATGAGGTTGGTCGGGAGGCTCATATAATAGCCTCTAGCAATTTTTTTAATATATATATATGTGTGTGTGTGTGTGTGTGTGTGTGTGTCTATATCCATATGTATCTATGCTTTCCAGAAGGTCGCCCGGATGAAATGCTCCTCCCCTCACTAAAAATTGAAGAGCTTATTGTCCTGAGATTTAGGAAACCATTTAACACTTAATTAAAAAGAATTATTTTTGCATAATTCAACTATCATATCCAGCCATCGAGTTAATAAATTACCTTCCCCGTCAAGTAAAATAAAGACTTCTTCAGGTTGGAATACTAGATCATACATTAACTTCCTAATGCCTCTAAAATAAAGTCCAACTAAAAAAAGGGGACATTTACATACATGCCAAACAATTCTCATAACCTTCCACGCATCAAAATCAGAAATGGATGAGAAAAGGTTTAAACTTGAAATTAAGAGACCTAGGGCTTGAACACAACTTCAAACCTATTCCAAATCATCCTAACAGAGAAATAAACAGCCAAATAGTATTAACAGTCACAATGTCAACCCAGCATCCTAAGCCAATGATTTCAAGGTATTCCTTTTAAACTGCTAACTTGTGAGTGCCTGCCCCACAAACAGTCAAAACGAAATAATACAAAAATCTAGGCGAAACAACAAAATACCTCTCAGCAGAAACATCACTCGAATCAACTGCACAGCTATAAATGCTAAAACCTAGCGAAAAAGTTGCAAAACGTAACCTATCACCTAGAATGATAGGAAACCGGGACAAAAAAATAATAATTTCAATGAAACTGACAAGAAATTTTGGATGAGCTAACCTCTGCCCTTGCAAGGATGAAAGCGAGGTAGTTGTTGAAATCCCCAACCTGGCTATAACGCTGAAGCTGCTGCCATATTAGGTGCTGATCGGAATTCGGGGAGATCTGCCGCTCCATCAAACAGCAGATCTC